ACAGAGCAAGCATACAAGCTGTATCAAAATGCTTCAGTTTTCCTTTTTCCCCTCAATTTAATGGTCATGTTACAGTTAATCAGTGAAATGAGCTGAATTTTCCTAAGAAGCAATATGTATGCACTATATATGTAAAAACACACAATGCCTACAATACATTCACACATATATAGGTGTAGATACATATTCTACAGTAGTTTGAAATTCTAGTAATAGTAGTCAGTGCCTCTGAGGAAGAATTTGGGTGTCGTCTAAATAAGAAGGGAAATATATCTGTTTCTTAGCCTCTAAAATTTTTGGACTGTGTATCTTTTATTGACATGAATGTAGTATATATGCATCGATGTGTTTGTTTTTAGTTTCAGCCTGTTAGGAAAACTGAAGAAAAGTGATACTCATTACCCACCAGGAAACATCTGTCCATTTTCATATACAGTATTTTATAGTGAAATATTTTATATTTCACTTAGATCTTACCAGAGAACCTGAGACATCACACTGAGAGAGTGAGTCTGATGCCTGCGTAAAATGGGTCAGGTGGCTGACCGGTAAAGGAAAATACAAATTTGGCATAAGAGGAGGGTTTTTTATCTTATTTAGAGCATGTTTGCCAGGAATGTAGATTGATAGGGAAATTCTTGGGGCTCTCAGTAGATATAATCTCTATCTATAGAGATGCAGTACACATACACACATATATGTGTATATAGAAAGCATTTAAATGAAAGAATGCATATCTGATATTAGTACAGCGAGGGTGGATGAGCTAGCTGCCTTCCCATTGTGGAGCTGCTGTGGGGAGGAGCCAGGACTGCAGCACAAGGCCTTTCTGTGCAGGAAGAAGCTTCCTCGGGGGCTCCTCCTGTCCACAAGCAGCCAGAGACTGAGGGACACAGGTGACAGTGCTGGGCCTAATGGCCCTTTCTCTATTTTTATTTCTCAGTTGGGGGTTGAGCGTTCTCGCTTTATAGTCACTTGTCCTTTTCAACTCTGAGGAAAGAGATGTTTTCTTCCCTCCCCCAACTGTATTATCTGTATTTCTTGTTCTTTGTTCTAGAAAGAAAAGATAAAACAACAACAACAACAACAAAACAGCAGCCTTGAGATTGTTTCTCTGATAAGTTTCTCACATTTCCAGAGCTGTGTATGGCCCGAGCTGAGGGCTGTGTGAAGTCTACAGCCTGCATCACTCCTTGTCCTGTACTTAGGGGTGCTGGGGCATTGGAGAGGGATGGAAGTAGCTCAGTAGAATGATGGGCAAGCAGATAATCCTAATCCTTCTGGTAACCCCAGGATTTCCACTGCTATCAGTGAAAGAGCAATGGTGCTCCCGCTCCTCCATCCTCTCGTTCACATGTTCACATAGCTACTGATTCATTGTGACTTGATTAGTTTCTTCATGTGTCAGTTGATGATGTCCTACGTGTAACTGGAGTCAATCTTCAGAAGAAAGATGATCATGTTAATGAGGTTTCTGAATTCGAGGCTCATAATTTAGCAGGCTTTGTGCTAAGCACTTTGTATACATCATTTCATATAATCTTTTTTTTGTGATCCCATTTTTTCCAATGAAGAAACGGAGACTCTGAAACTTGGAGGAACTTGCTCAAGATCACTAGTAATTGACAGAACCAGATTGAGACTTGAAGTTGTCTTTCTATGGAAACTTGTGTGAAGAGATCATTGCACTCCCAAGTGGTAAATGCAATGATGGCAGCATGCCTAGAAACTGAGGACTCAGAAAAGAGAGATTTGATTGACCTTTGGGGGTCCTGGAAAGGAATTTTGGAGACAGTAGTTTTGAGTTTAACATTAAACTATGCACCAAAATTAACATATTTCTGCACTACTGGAGCATCTACACAGAAGGATGGCTAGTTTGTGAAAACAAGTGTGTGTGGAATTGCAAGTGCTTTAGTGTTTCTGAAACACTGTGTGCAAGGCAGGGGTGTTGGGATATGAGCCAGGAGAGATGGGTAGGGTCAGATTATGGCAGATCTTTTAGAATCTACAATGTAGGTGATGACAATGAGTTTGGAATCATTCGAGGAGATATGAGATTGGAGCCAGACAAGGCAGGTGCAGTAGGGTGGGAGGGAAGGAAGAAAGACTTGATAATCTCTTGATGGAGAGGATGAGAGAGATAGCCAGGATACTTCATAGTCTTCTAGCTTGGTATTTGGATGGATAAGGATGCCAGCATTTGATACAGAGGAACTAGAAGGAGAATTAGCTTCAGAAAAAGAGTACAAATCAGTTTTATTCTTCACCAGTCTACGCTTGTAACCATCTGTTGTTATTAATTTTTCTATAGTAGGTCAAAATGGTAATGCACAGATTTGTATTTGCTATGATTTATAGTTAATTGTTAACTACTATCATTTTATAAACAAGAACAAGCTTTCCTGCCTTTCTGGAAATTTCTGTGGAAATTAAATACATTAGCTATAACTGTGATGGGGGAGAGTTGAATATAGTAAGTTCTTATGTGACATAGTCTGTAGGTTTTTGGAACTGACTTTAAACAAATTTATATATAATGAAAGTAGTTTCTCATTCATTTCTTCGGTGTTATTCAGATTTTTTTTTCTCTCTCGCCTATGTGATAATTTAATGATGTAGAAAAAAATAATGTTATTAGAGGACCTCCTGTGCATGTGTTCAGTCAATCTTTTTTTCATGTGTTTAACATTGCTTATTTTGAGGTCATAGTCCCTTGTTTTATTTTTTAAAGATTTATTTATTTACTCATACAGAATTGGGGTAGACAGGTCAGAGATGCGGAGGGTCGGAGAGTGAGAGGATTTCACCAGGGACAGAGTGGGGAGCAGAACAGGCAGATCAACGAAGTACATTGCTGAGGGGAGCAGCAGCCGGGTCAGGAGAGGTCTGATGTGCCACATGGGTCACCTCCGGGGCGAGGATGGAACTCATGCTGAAATGGCTTTAGCTTCTTAGTGCTGTGCTTGAACCCGCTGAACCACCAGGGAGGGCCGGTCATAGTCCTTTTTAAAATTTTTAATAAGCTGATGGAACCTATGAATTCTTTCATCCAGAAGGTGAGCTTGATCTCCCTCTCCAATATCAACTTAAGCACTCTTGGTTTTTGATCAGAGACATCTGACTCAGTTGGGTTTTCACCTTTTCCTCACTTCTCCCCATAGCTGGCACTATGTGACCCTTACTTGTAAGTTTAGATACTTCTAGGACCAAATCAACTTTAATTAGAAAACTCCAAATACTTTTTTCCAGTCAGGTTTCCCTGAAAAAGACCCTAAGATAAGAGTTTGCATGAAAGTCCTTTATTAAGGAAGTGTCCCCAGAAAAAAAAAAAAGAAGTAGGAGAAGTCAGGGATGGGAAGGAGGCCAAAAGTGGCTAGGATCTGAGAGAGAGACCTCTGGAGATGGCATGATGATTAATTTGATGTGGCAACTTGACAGGCTACATAAAAACATTATTTTTGGGTATGTTTGCGGTGGTGTTTCCAGAGGAGATTAGCATTTTAATTGACAGGCTCAGTAAATTGTCTCCCCCAGTATCAAGCAATGGAACATTACCCAATCCTTTAAGGGCCTGAGTGAGACAAAAGATAAAGGAAGGAGGTATTCTGCACTTTTTTCTACTCCATAGCTTGAGCTGGGACTGCTCATCTCATCTTCTCTGCCTTTGGACTCAGATGTAGACCACCAACTACACTGATTCTCAGGCCTTCAGACTCATGTTAAATCTTACTACTGACTTTCCTGGGTCTCCAACATGCTAATGACAGATTATGAGACTTAGACCATCCCTTGTAATCATGTGAGTTAATTCTTCATTGTCCATCTATTTGTCTTTCATCGTCTTTCCTTTCTGTTGATTCTGTTTCTCTGAAGAATCTTGACTAGTATGAATAGTTTTGCCTGACCACATGAAAGAGCTCTGGGTATATTTTACCTCAGAATTTTTCTACTGGAGGAAAAAGTCTTGGTTTTCATATCTGGCATCCAATATTCAGGTTGACTGACAGCGATCCTTTATGTTGGGACCAGGAGCTGGGTACTTCTGGCTCACTACCAATACAGGGCTAAGTATCCCCAGTCCCATTTGTATAACACACACAAATGCTGGATGTTTGGAGCCAAAACACAAAGAAACTAGTGACGGAACACTCAGAAATGGTGGGATGGGTCTGGGAGAATCTGGGTGCAGCAGTGACATCGTCTGCTGCCTATTTCTATCTCCAGCATCCTAGTCAGTCTGGCCTTGGTGCCAGGCTCCAATTTTGACGGTGGTTCCTGCCAGGAGACTTTTAAAAACTGGCCTTATAAGTAGTCTGTCTTTAGTTTAGTAGAACTTGCTGAATATTTAATTTTGTGTTGGCCTGAATTCCAGTGATTTTGTTAGGACGAGTTAGTTGCAAAATGCTCCATTACATAATGAAATGAGTTAATCTTTTTATAGCGTTGTGCTGTATTTGCTATCAAAATGCTGAAGAGTGTTTGCCAGAAGAAGCAGTTGTAGTATTGTTCTAAATGATTTTGAACTGCTCCTCATAGTAGAAATCACCCACTAAGCTTAGTGGCTCCTTAAGGCCCCTCTTAGAATGATAATAGTACCATATCATCAGCATCAAGGTGAATGATATGACAGGTCATGTATTCAGGTTATTAAAAGATTTATCAAATGGTTTGCATGAAAATTAGAGTGGGTAGGCTAGGACACCTGTAGCATTTGGGTCTGTAATTTACTCTGTCAAGAACCCATTTCCAATCCATTTTGATCCTCTTTTGATATTATAGTAAAGGCGCTGAAGGACCTCTAAAAGCCAAGAAATCAATATCAAGATCATGTAACTTGGCCTATAAAATCAAACATTGACAATAGAGCAATAAACTCACAAGTCTCAAATTATTTTTAACTATTTTCTCAATAGAAGAAACAGAGTGTACTAAGAGTGCATGAGAGGAAAACTTTTTCTGAAGCATTTGTGCTCTTCCTGTAGGATATTATATTGAGACATCCAGATGTGCAAGTATGGAAGAGCAAGATGGTGCTGATTTTTGGAAGAGATATTTTGAAAAGTGCTGGTTGGTAACAAAAAGAGTGCTGCTTTTCTGTTTTCTTTTTTAATGAACAGCAGATTGTTCTGTGGTTCAACTATATCAAAATTATTGATTAGGTTATTAATTCAGTGGGGAGGGAACTCAGTGTAAAATAGAACTTAACTGTGGAAAAAGTCTACCACACAGTATGATGTGAAGTCGTGTTTAAATGAATTGTAATGAGTGGAGGACACTGGATTTGAACTAGAGAAATTTCTAAGGCTTTTAAAATATGGGATAATGTAAGTGTTCGTTAAAATAAGAAAGACTACTAATTAGTGAAATTCTTTCATGAAAGGAAAGGCCAGGCAGGTAGGTTTCTTAGATCTATGTGATCTAAAGTGGTTGATGTGGGCTAGAGATAAAAAGAGAGGGAGGGGAAGAGTGAGATAAAGAGAGAGAGAGAGAGGCAGACATAGAGAGAGAGAGACAGTGAGAGAGAGAGACAGAGACAGGCAGAGAGAGCTAGAGAGAGACTGACTTAAAGAATACTCAGGAGTTGCCTGATGATTTTGATTTTTACTTTATTATAGTTACTTTTTTTTCTGATTCTTTTTTGTTTTCACTACATTCCTCCTATAAGTGAGACTATTCGATATTTTTCTTTTTCTAGGTTAGAGATATTCTGTCAGGGAGTAAGAGGAGGAGGAGAAGAACCCGGTCAGGGCTGGGAAGAGCACAGGGGACTATGGTGATGGTGCACAGGTAAGCTGGCAGTGGGAATTTCATGGCAAACCATACATTATAAAAAAAAGAAGGACTATATAATGAATTTTTTTTTTTTAAAAGAATACTCATGGGCCCTTCCTGGTGGCGCAGCGGGTTAAAGCACAGCACTGAGAATCTAAAGCCACTTCCGCATGAGTTCGATTCCCGCCTTCCCCGGAGGTAACCACATGGCGTGGCAGACCTCTCCTGACCCGCCTGCTGCTCCCCTCAGCAGTGTACTTCATCGATCTGCCTGTTCTGCTCCTCACTCTGTCTCTGGTGAATCCTCTCACCCTCCACATCTCTGGCCTGTACCCCAGTTCTGTATGCACAAATAAATAAATCTTTAAAAAAAAATACTCAGGAAGTAAACAGGAAACTGAAAGGCATGAACCAAGAACTAGACAGATAAGAACTTTAGTATTATTACATTAACAACTCAAACAGGAATCTTAATGGATGCTGTGTAGTCATTTGCGTTCCTTCCTAGTAACTATTTTAATTACTATAAATAGGTAACACTTCCTTAACACAAATAAAGAATGCTTGAAACCAATAGCCAAATTATGTTAAAGGAGAAACAGTTGAGGTATTTCCATCAAATTAAAAAAGTCAGAGAAAGATATCTGGTATTAACTGGTACTTGTCTGAAGGTTATAGTCAACAAAATAAGTTAAGAAAATAGAAAGGAAATGTAAGTGTTGGAGCTTGGATGATGTGTAGACATGGAAGCATGTGTTCCCTAGACCCTCCTCAAGAGACAACTTGCTGTTCAGCTGCAAGAACAGTTAACAGCTGATCTGAATCTTAACAACTTCAGCGTTACCTCTGCTTCCTAGGTAGCCCTCAGCTTATGACTGGCCATGTCAGGCCAGTGTGCAACTCCTTTAATGGGCATTTTCCTTCCCTGGAGTTCCTAGGTTAGTTGACAGCTTTTGTCATGTCTGCATCATAGTTAGCCTTCCAGCATGCCCACTTTTCCCTATCATTTTACCCCCAAATTCTCTGAGCTCCATCTTTATCTGCTTCCCAAAAGACCCAGATGCCCTTGTTAGTAGCAGGAGTGGTCCGGGAAAGCAGAGATAACATTCATCTTGGGAACTGGATTCAAAGAGATGGGGAGAATGCAAACTCTGGCTGTCTAATTGCTGACATAGTGAAACTGCCTGGTTGTTTTTACATTACACTAATGAAGGATCATAAAAATATGAGGGAAGTTAACAAACAGTTGAACATTGCTAGAATGTTTTTTGTGATTTGTATAGCCCTTTCTCGCTGCCCTCCCCTCCACCCCCTCCCCACCCCGGAAGTGTGAAAGCAGAACAAGCTGAAGCTAAAAATCAGGACTTAATAGAGCTGCCAAACTACTAAGATGATTGAATGGTTCATGAAGGGACTGTTATGCCAAGACCAGGTGCCATTTAGGAAAACTTCAGACCCTGTTCCAGGGGATGAGACCATCTGGATTCATGCCTCCAAAGGTTTTTTTTTTGTTCTCCTAATCTCATTGACCCCTCTCAGCAGTCACCCACCATTGTTGTTAACAGATAGCACTTGGTCCCCTTGGTAACACTCTGGGGTGTCCTTTTTGCAAGGTGATAGCTCCTTCTTCCTCCTTTAGCCACTTCTGGTACCTCTTCTCATTTCTTTACCTCACTACTAGATTGATATTGTTGTAGTAAAACTTAGCAAGGGTCATGATGGGTCTAATAAGGAAGAAAAGTGAGTTGCAAGAATTAGCTAGCATTACCTGGTAGGAGCTGGAAGAATAATTAGCAGACTAGATTTGTAGTTGCTTGATCAAGAATTCTGGAACATAAACGTGGATAAGAAGGAATTTGTGAACTTGAGAACATTCTGTCAAATTTAGGATACGGCACAATGACCCACAACTAAAATGCCCGCATTACTGTGATAGATTATGGAAGAAGGGATAAAGAGGCTGGGGGAGGTAAGCATTCTCGAGTATATAAATATGCAAAACCAAGTCCATCTGAGGAATGTCTTCCATAGAACAGGCAAGGAACCATGCCAAATTCAGATGAGAGAGAAATTGACCACTCCAGGAAGTTCAGTGGTGGTTGAGGGACTGAAAATACAAATATAACCTCAACCTTTGATGTAAATAGCTTGAGAAACCACAGCCTTCACAGCAGCAGGTCGGAATGCAGCTAATAATGGGCAGCTTTCTAAATTTTGCTCTTGATTCCAACTCAAGACAAACCACAGAAAGTCAAATATGTTCCCCAAACCAGTCTCATAAGATGTTGTGCTTCTAGATAGCACTTCTCCAGCTCCCCAAAAATCTGAAATCGGAATGAAGCTGCCTGCTGGTTTTCATTGCAAAGCATTACCCCCGCTCTGCCTGCTTCTGAGTTCTGCTGAGCACCCAATGATAGTGGCAGACTTCCTCATTTAGCAAACTCAGAATAAAGAGTCTCTGTTTCTTACTTGGCTGGTCTTCATCTATTTCCATGTGACTGCAAGCAGAAGCCAGTGGTAGGGAAGGCTGTCAGAGAGCCTTGCTCATTGATACTAGAGAGGATTGTGGTGCTCCAGAACCAAGAGGCCAGCTGGTGGCTCTTACCTGCACAAGATAGGGGTTTTGCAGTTTTTGAGACATTTGCCAGAATTAAGTGGTAACCAAGGAGGCTTAGCCAGCGAGACTTGTGGAGAAATAGTTAATAGAATATATAGACTATTTCTAGGGTTAAAATAGGAGTTCAAGAGGGAGTACAAGCTTGTTACATGTATTTCATCAAGAAAATAATAATGGAAGAGCAGGGATCTGAGGGTTGCCATCCTAATAATAATAAAAAAATCTCATTACTCAGCCTGCCCTAATTTTCAAACCAACAACCCAGTGCCTGAAGAGGTGCTTGGGTTCCAGTGGGAAGGATTCTGAATCACTGGAAAATAGACATTGTAGTGATTCCCCTTCTACAACAGGAGCTATGGCTTCTTATTTGAATGATTGTACAATAAGGAAAGGGGAATCCCAAGACATTTCTGTGACTGCCAGGCACATGGTCTCACATTAATACCTGGAAATGTGGAGATCCTTTAGAGCCCATTGTGAGAGTTGGAGAAGAGGGTGTAATACATAGAATCCTGGCCAAATCCCTAGTTGCTCTGGATCCACTGGAATTTTGGACTCATTAGAAGATATTTTCCCCAATTCCTGACTGTATCATTACAATTAACAAACTTGGAACTTGATTCTCAATCTATGGAGTAAGAGCTATGATAGTGAGGACCAAAAGGACGCATTTGAAACTGCCTACTCACATCCCTAGCCAAGAAAGTACATAAAAAATGATGTCACTTCCTGGGAGGATGGTGAAGATTAGTGCTACTCTTAAGCATTTCAAGGATATAAGGTGGGGATCCCTATCATGTCTCCCTTCAGTTAACTGACTGGCTTCTGCATAAGACAGTTGGGTCCTGCAGAGTAACTATAGATCTCCATAAGGTGAAGCAAGTTCAATCCTGGCAGGAGGTTGAGAAGCCGAGAGGGGTGCCACTCATCTTGGAGGAGGAGGAGAAATGAAAGTTGGTTTATGGATGGCTTGCTTTGGTGTATGGGCACAAGCTGAGGTGGATGACAGAGCAGTATAGTTGGGGGCAGGGTTGACCTTGAAATGTAATGCTGCAAAAACAAAAAAACAAAAACCAAAAAACCCCAAAATGTCCCTGGAGTAGAGTTCTGAGCATTGTACCTGGTCATCCACTTTATGAGCAAGAAGAAATGGCCTTTGATGAGAATATAAGCACAATTCTGGAACATGATGAATGCCTGACCCTTTTTTCTTTTTAAGATTTTTATTTATTTATGCACACAGAAATGGGGCACGAGTCAGAGGTGCAGGGGCAGTGAGGGGATTCACCAGAGACAGAGTGGGGAGCAGAACAGGCAGAGTGACGAAGTTACACTGCTGAGGGGAGCAGCGGGCAGGTCAGGAGAGGTCTGCTGTGCCATGTGGGTTACGTCCAGGCCGGGGATCCAACTCATACTGAAGTGGCTGCAGTCAGTTTGCAGTGCTGCATCCTAACCCGTTGAGCGACCAGGGAGGGCTCTCCAGCTCATTTCTCAAAGACCTAGAAATAAACAATCTGCAAGTGAGAAATAAGGTCTGGGGTAGAGGAATGTAGGTACATCTAGGTCACATGACATATGATTGTTACATGAAGTGTGAATTAATACTTACCCAAAGCACATGCCATTAAAATGGCACTAAAACAATCAGGGACACAAAATGACTCCGGCAGTTGACATTAAGCAGCCTTTTTCATCGTTCAGGTAGAAATGCACACTGGCCACATGAATGAAGAGCCCCAGAGGCAGAGGTGAAGGTTACATAAAGGCCTAACTACATGGATTTCCCCTTCTTGTAAAATAATGACAGATATTATTGGCAAATATAACTATTGCCAGTTCTGTGTGTCTAAGCTGCCAGCAGAGATTTCAAGGCTGACTTCCTGAAATGACATTATTTTTCACCGAGGTGTTCAGACCAGCTACTTTGTTGGCCTTTTTAGTCTTGTAAGTGCCAACAATTTGCTGCCATAGAAATAAACGCCTATTGCATATGTGACTTCCCTTTTCTGCTACAACAATCTTTGCAAGCATCACTAGGCTGGGTCTAGGCTTATCTGATTTGTACCATTTTGCCCGGTGAATGTGGACCCATTGTCATGAGACTCGCTGGAGGTATCACATGCTACAGCATCCAGAACCTGTCAGTCTGGCAGAGTATTGGACTGACCTGTTGCAAGTGCAACGAAAGTGCCACTTTGAGGTCAATACTCTTCAAATATAGGGTCCTAGATTAGAAATGTAAGAGAACAGTCTCAGGTTGCTATTTAAGAATGGAGTAGGTTGTTTACATTCTCAAGAGATATAATCTCATTTCTACTCCTCTGGAATAGGGGTTCCTTTATAAAATGTACTAAGATATAACTGAGAATGAATGCTGTATTCACATTCAAGCATGAGA